CAGGGAGAGGAATGAGAAAAACAGGGACATTTTCTGGGAATCTGGTTGTACAGTCACATATAAGACAAGTGGAAAAATTGCTTAAGGCTTAATTTTTGTTCTTATAAAAAACACTTTCATTGTGAATGGGAGTGAGTTCTGTTTTTCTGTTTCCCTTTCTACCTGGCCTCTCTCCATTAAAAAAACTAAATCAAGACAGTATATAAAGAAGGATGTCCAGACTACACGGTAGTTAATAAAAAGTCATGGAAAGAAAAGCAAATGACCCCAGGAGGAAAATTAATCATGAAGTTAAGCTGCTGATGGCCAAGATGAAGAAAAGACTGTGGCAGACACAGCCCTTGCTGTCAGAGAGCTTTCCAGTGGAAAACACACGCTGGCTGCCGTCACACCACTGGGCATGCACCCCTAGGCGCCGCCCAGGCTGCTCAGAACACTGCAGCGAATGAACAAATGTGGATTTCAGAGCTCACAGTCCAGCATTAATTTTGAAAAGGAGTTTCTCACATGACACCTTGTAGAAAGAACCCTGAACAAAATTTCAGGAAACTGATGTTTTCTGGAACTGATTCTCTTACCACAATGTGACCAATTAGATATACAAAAAGTAAAACGATAACTTTAAAACAGACTATCACTGAAAATTTTAAATAACTGAAAAAACTCATGAATTACAGAGAAAAATTACAATGCAAACTAAATTATATGATGCATCTCAATCAGTATTTAGAAGGAAAATTATATTTTAAATGTATTTATTTAAAACCAGGAAAGTTTAAAAATAAATAATATGCAACTCAAGAACTTAGAGGAAGATACATTGAATAAACATAAAAAACATAGGAATATGGCCAGCATAGTGGCTCAGGCCTGTAATCCCAGCACTTTGGGAGGCTGAGGCAAGTGGATCACCTGAGGTCAGGAGTTCGAGACCAGCCTGGCCAACACGGCAAAACTCCGTCTCTACCAAAAATACAAAAATTAACTGGGCATGGTGATGTGTGCCTGTAGTCCCAGCTACTCAGGAGGCTGAGGCAGGAGAATCACTTGAACCTGGGCAGTGAAGGCTGCTGTGAGCCGAGATCATGCCACTGCCCCGAGATCAGGCCACTGCATTCTAGCCTGGGCAACAGAGCGAGACTCAAACAACAAAACCCCATAGAAATATAAAACTTAAACATATAAGCACAAAAATAAAAAACAATGAAACAGTTCAGAAACTCAACAAAATCAAAAGATGATTTTTTGAAAGAACACTAAAGCAGATAGATTTCTAGCAGAGTTGATTTAGAAATAATGAGAAAAATAACAAAAAAATAAGAGCATAAAACAGCAAATTCAGACATCATAAAGATTAAAAAATTAGTAAGATAATCCCATGAACAACTTTATTTCAATACATTTGAAAACTTAAATGACATTTTCTAGAAAATATAAATAATTTGACAAGGAAAATTGGAAATGTAAACCATAGACATTAAATACATAGAATTGGAAATCTAATGGTACTCAAAATTTCTAGAGCATTTTTACAAGCAAATTTTACCAGACATTCAAAAAACAGATCTCTTTATCTCATACAAATTCTCCCAGAGAATTAAAAAAAGAGGTAAACTTTAGCAACTTGTTCTATAACTAGTATAATCTGGATTTTTAAAAACTTAAAAGCATCGTACAAAAATGATAGACCCATCTTACTAATAAACATAATTTCAAATATCTTAAAACACAAATCAAATTCAGAAGTGTATAAAACTAACATGTGGTAACAAGTGGGGTTTTATCCTGAAGATGGAAAAATGACTTAACATCAGAAAATATGTTAATGTAATCCACCACATTAAAGATTACAGGAAAAAAGTACTTGGCCAGGCACAGTGGCTTACCCCTGTAATTCCAGCACTTTGAGATGCTGAGGTGGGTGGATCACCTGAGGTCAGGAGTTTCAGACCAGCTTGGCCAACATAGTGAAACTCCGTCTCTACTAAAAATACAAAAATTAGCTGGGCGTGGTGGCCCACAACTGTAGTCTCAGCTACTTGGGAGGCTGAGGCAGGAGAATTGCTTGAACCCAGGAGGCAGAGGTTGCAGTAACTGCACCACTACACTCTAGCCTGGGAGACAGAGCGAGACTCCATCTCAAAAAATAAATAAATAAATGAACAAATAAATAAATAATAAGTACTTCATAAAATTCAACATTATTTCATAATAAAACCTGTGTAAGGAAACCAAGATGGCTATCCTCCAAAATTAGCAGACATCATGCTTAATAGTACAGTCTTAGAAGCATCCCTAGGAAAACAGAGGACAGGACATCGATGTTTGCTATTTCTGCATGTATCCTGTAGGTTGAAAACCAATGTAATACAAAAAATGCAATCAACCAGTAAGATAAAGCCAATGGAATAAGGTGCAGAAAGGATAAGAATAGAAGACAAAGAAACCAAACAAACAGTCCTCAGTTGCAAACGACATACTTGCCTACCCTCCTCCCCAACTCAAGACAGTCAACTAAGAAAACTTCTTAGAAGATTGACATAAAAACTGAATACTGTTCCTATACACCAACAATTAGAAAATGCAAAAGGAAAAGATCTTATTCAGTGTGGGGAACAACAACAAAAAGAAAATTATGAGTGTACCTAGTAAATCTAGGAAAACATGTGCATACTTTTTATTAAAAAAAAAAAAAAACCCAATGTTTATTGAAAAACTTTAAACCTGAATAGAAAGACATCCCATACTTATGGATGGTGTTCATGTCAAATGAATGCATAAATTCAGTGCATTTCCAATCAAAATTTCAATGCAGGTCTATGTGAAACTTGATACATTGATCATAAAATTCAAATGAGAAAAGAAAGGGCCAAGAATAGCTAAGATCATTTTTATAATGATAGCAAAATGGAAAGACTTAGATCTCAACTCAGTGCTACTATTACCACAAAAGATTTTATCTTTCCCGATGGAACATTTTGCTTTCTCATTCATTCATTCATCCATTTATTTGTCATGTTTTAAAACTCTACTGTGTCCCAGGCTCTATTCTTGGCTTTGAGAATAGATCAAAGAACAAAACCAACAAAATGCCTGCCCTCAGAGTGCTTACATTCTAGCGGGTGGGTCAAGTAATAAAAATAATATACTGCAATCGTGGACAGTGGTGAATGTTATGAAGAAAAATTAAGTGAATTAGGGAGGGCTCTATTTTAAAGAGGGTTAAAAGGGAAGGCCCCTCTTGATAATGTGATGTTTGAACAGAAACCTTGAATGAGGTTCAAGCAAGCTGTACAGCTCTCTGAGGGGAGAGAAATAGCAGGAAGAAGAAAGAGTAAGTGCAAAGGCCTGAACTGGGAACACAGTCAGTGTGCAAGGAATTGCAAGTGTTTCTGAAACACAGCAAGAGAGAGAGAAAGCGCAGTAGAAAATGAGGTGCAAACTGCAACCAGCAACCAGAACATAGGAGGTCTTATAGACACAGTAAGATTGGGAATGTTATTCTGAATGTGAACAGGGAAAAGCACGATCAAATGTGTTTTTAAAGACATAACTCGGCCTGGCGTGGTGGCTCACGCCTGTAATCCCAGCACTTTGGGAGGCCTAGGCAGGTGGATCACCTGAGGTCGGAAGTTCGAAACCAGCCTGACCAACATGAAGACACCCCATCTCTACTGAAACTACAAAAATTAGCCCGGCGTGTTGGTGCATGCCTGTAATCTCAGCTACTCGGGAGGCTGAGGTAGGAGAATCACTTGAACCCGGGAGGTGGAGGTTGCAGTAAGACAAGACTGTGCCACTGCACTCCAGTGTGGACAACAAGAGCGAAACGCCTTCTCAAAAAAAAAAAAAAGAAAAGAAAGAAAAAAGACATAACTCTGTTGCTATGTAGACAAAAAACTGTAGGGGAGCAAGAGATGAAGGGGTAACTAATTAGGAGGCCATAGAGTAGTCCAGGCAAAAGGTGACGGTGGTTTGGCCCTGAGTGGCAGTGCTGGAGGGGGTGATGAATGGCTGGCTTCAGAAAGTCTGTTTTAAGGTAGAGCTGTCAGGATTTGCTAATGGATTGGATGTCAGGCACAAGAGAGTCTGGATAGCCCCAAGGTTTTCAGCCTGAGCAACTGGCAAAGTGATATATGATATGACGGAATGAATATTTTACATGTCCGCAGGGAAAGAAGGAGCATCCGTCAAAAGTTGGTGAGATGACTGGTTGTCCTCAAGTAAAAATAAATTAGATTCATACCTCACCCTGCATAAGAGGTTAAGTTCCCCATATATTTATGACCTAAATGAAAAAAACAAAACTTTCATATTTTTTTCTTTTTTCTTTTCTTTCTTTTTTTTTTTTTTGAGACGGAGTTTTACTCTTGTTGTCTAGGCTGGAGGGCAGTGGCACTATCTTGGCTCACTGCAACCACCACCTCCTGGGTTCAAGCAATTCTGCCTCAGCCTCCGGAGTAGCTGGGATTACAGGCATGTGCCACCATGCCCACTAATTTTGTATTTTTAGTAGAGACGGGGTTTCACCATGTTGGTCAGGCTGGCCTCAGACTTCTGACCTCAGGTGATCCACCGGCCTCGGCCTCCCAAAGTGCTGGGATTACAGGAGTGAGCTACCCACCTGGCCTAAGTTTTATATTTTAAAAGAAAAATAAGGCACTTTGGGAGGCTGAGGCGGGTGGATCACGAGTTCAGGAGATTGAGACCATCCTGGCCAACATGGTGAAACCCCATCTCTACCAAAAATACAAAATTAGCCAGGCATGGTGGTGCACGCCTGTGGTCCCAGCTACTCAGGAGGCTGAGGCAGGAGAGTCGCTTGAACCTGGGAGGCGGAGGCTGCAGTGAGCTGAGATCGCACCACTGCACTCCAGCTTGGGTAACAGAGCGAGACTCTGTCTCAAAATAAATAAATAAATAAAATAAGAGAAATAATTATGGCCTTATTTATAAGTAGGACAGGGTTTCTTAAACAAGTTGCAAAAGCAAAATCAAAATAATCAAAAATAAATAAACTTTATTATTTAAAGTTTATAAAATTTTCTCTGAAACAAAAACCCAAAAACAAATTGAGAAGACAAGCCATAGAGTGAAAGGAGATATTATGAATGCATATAAATGACAAAGAATTAGTACACAGGATATACAAAAAACACCAAAAAAAATCAGTTTGAAAAGGACACACTTACCAAAAAAAGCAAAATATGTGAAAAGGCTAAGGACAGAAGAGGAAATTGAACAATCAATCGAACAAATGACAATTGCTCAAACTCATCAGTAATCAAGGACGCACATAATGAATAGCCTGCATCATCGTTTGACACTTATCAGCTTAGCACAAATGAAAGTGTCTGACAACACAAGAGTTAGTCAGGAAATGAAGATGCAAGAAAATTCCTATATGCGCCTGGGAATTGTCAGTTCTTGAAATCACTGAGGGAAACAATTTGGCAAGAAGCAAATCTGCTTCTTAGATGTACTGTGCAAGGAGACAAATGGCAGTATTGTTTATACATCTGTAAGAGCGAACACTTGGAAACTTTTGGAAGAAATAGTCCTCCACAGGCTTACTGTTCTCCTACAGGTCTTACTGGGTGCACCAAGACAGTAAAGCCTTGACTCTTCTTTACTGGATCCATTTTTCAGGGTCGTAGTTGCAGGGAGGAACCTCAAAGGAGAGGGCTTGCCTACTGCCTGCTGTGGGCCCACACGGTGCCCTAGCTCAGCGGTCCTCCACTGTGACTTGACCCAGTGCATGTGCGGGAGTCATGGGGTCTCTGCATAACCCCGTGGGTATCAGGGCTTGGGGCACCAGTGCAAATACACTGACACTGGCCATTGCTTTATCTGTGAATAATAAGTGAAGTCTTTTGTCTCTGATTCAGAAATCTTAAGTCTTCTGCCAGCATCCATGAAACTGGGGCAGCAGCCTCACTTTTGAATCTGTAAGTAGTGAGTGAAATCTCAGCCTCTTCACAGTTCTTGACAGAAGCCACCCAAATATCCATTATCATCATGATTAAATTGTATGATTCACGTGAAATGGAGACAGAGGAGGAATCCCTTTGAGGGGCCTACCACCCTCCCAACCAAGCAAGGAAATAAAGAAAAATCTTGAGTTCCTTTGAGGGAAATTCCAGGCACCTAGCTAGCCCTGAGGAGTAAGTGAGCAACCTGATAAGCAAGAAGGTAACAATAGCTGAAGACAATAGCCAAGGAAGTTAGAGCCACCAAATATTTGGTTCCCCATAGAAACTAAAGACAACATCTTAATATATATCCTTGAGTTGTTTTCAAGAAACCTGGACTCCCACCAAATGGAAAATGACATTTGTTGGCACATAGACCTTAACAGAGGAACTGGGGACTGAACTCTGACTGCCATTTTTTGCTCTGAATTTCTTCCTGAGCAGCCTGGAGGAAGTCATGCCTACAGGTCAGAGCTCAGCATTCCTTTCTGCAGACCCCTAGTCTTTAGACAAAGTTTCACTCCCTTAACCAGTTCGCAAATCAGAAAATCTTTGAATCTACCCAAGACCTGTGCCTCGCCCCACACTTCAAGATATCCCACCATTTTTTGCCAAACCAATGTAAGACCTCCATGTATTGATTTATGACTTTGCCTGTAACTTCTGCCCTCCCACCTTTAGAAACCCTTACACTCAAGGCATTCGGGAGTTTAGGTCCTAAGCGTGAGCTATCTGGTTCTTCTTGCTTGGTGCCTGTTATACATGCCTCACTTTTTTTCACTGCAAATCCCACTGTCAGTGTTTGGCTTTGCTATGCCAGGATGAGTGTCCCCAGTTCGGTTTGGTAACCAAATGAAATGCAATACACTAGTTAAATGAATGTACCTATATCTGTTGGCATTATTAAATTGCAAAAACATAATGTTCAGTGAAAAAAGCTTGTTAGAGAGTGATGTAATCAACAAAAGTTCAGTACTTTGCTATATACAGTTTATGGAGCCATTCATCTGTAGTATTAATATAGTGTCATTCTGGGAATGAAAAACATCAGTTTAAGGACAGGGTGGGAAACATGGAGGGGCTTCCATGATCCTTGTGTGTGTTGTTTCTTAAGGGGAAAAAAAAACTGACGCAAATCTGCCAAAATGTTACAGTTTTGTGCGTGAGAATATAGGTGTTCATTATGTTGTTTTTATGTTTTTCTGGATATTTGAAGTCATCCATAATTTCAGAATATCGGTGATGATGGAGCTTCCCATTTTGTACCATCAGTCTGTCTAAGATTCACAGAATTACCTCACATTTCCCTTTAAATATGAATCTTGGGGCCGGGCGCGGTGGCTCAAGCCTGTAATCCCAGCACTTTGGGAGGCCGAGACGGGCGGATCACGAGGTCAGGAGATCGAGACCATCCTGACTAACACGGTGAAACCCCGTCTCTACTAAAAAATACAAAAAAATTAGCCGGGCGTGGTGGCGGCGCCTGTAGTCCCAGCTACTCGGAGGCTGAGGCAGGAGAATGGCAGGAACCCGGGAGGCGGAGCTTGCAGTGAGCTGAGATCCGGCCACTGCACTCCAGCCTGGGTGACAGAGCAAGACTCCATCTCAAAAAAAAAAAAAAAAAAAAAAGAATCTTGGTTCTCATAGTTGGAGGCTTAATGTTTCCAAAGTTATAAATATGTTTTTTTGTTTTTTGGAGACAGAGTCTCGCTCTGTCACCAGGCTAGAGTGCAGTGGCGTGATCTCGACTCACTGCAACCTCCACCTCCCGGGTTTAAGAGATTCTCCTGCTTCAGCCTCCCGAGTAGCTGGGACTACAGGCATGCACCACCACGTCCAGCTAATTTTTGTATTTTTAGTAGAAACAGGGTTTCACGATGTTGGTCAGGATGGTCTCGATCTCTTGACCTCGTGATCCACCCACCTCAGCATCCCAAAGTGCTGGAATTACAGGTGTGAGCCACTGCACTCGGACAAATAATGCATTTTTGTAGGTGGAAACTTCTCTCAAATTAAAACATCCCCTATACCAGAAACCTGGGGAAAAGAAATCATTAAGTGACCTGACAAGAAATCAGAGACAGTTTTGTTTTTTTTAAAAACAAAACAAAACAAAACAAACAAAAAAAAAACAACAACATTAAAGTCCTAATGCGAAGGCAGAGAAAAGACCCGTGCTGCTCACTGTCTGTGACCTGATGCCTCCATCTTTTTCTGCAGGGCCTTTGTCCCTGATCTCCCTCTCCTGACCCAGATGAATGAATGAAATGAACTAATGTGTACACAGACTCTGTGTGCATATGGCTTTGATTTGGGAGAAAAGATGAATCACTCTGAGCTGGTAATCTGATCTTTTCCCTTCTGCTAGTAAACAGTTGAAAGATACTCAATACATTCTCTGCCTGCCTTTTAAAACCAGAATAGCAAATAAAAGCCCTAGAGGGGCCTGGTTTGGATGGGGGAAGCCATTTATCACCTTCAGGGAAAAGAGAATGTAAATAGGTCCACATTTATTCTCTGGTCCTCCCTTGGCCAGGACAGCCTTAGAAATACTCACCTTGTTTCAGTTAGCAGGCCAAGGGTCAGCGGTCAACAGAGCTGCTGCAGCAAGCTCTGTGTGGTGCCTCAAACAGGCCACACAAAGAGATGCCATTTGAAATCGGAATTCCTTTCACCCTGAGTGAGTTTCCAAAGCAAAGGGGTCACCCGGTGAGTGTTGGTGGAGTCCTCACTGTTTGTCCTGCCTCTTGCTACAGAGGACATCTGGCAAAAGCAGATCAGAAAATGAAAGAAGTCTGTCCCAGGTCTGCCCTCCCCAAGTGGTGGAATTTCTCATGCGATTGTTGCTTGGGATGTGCCACTCTGTACTTGAGTAGGTTGAGGGTGAACAGACTGATCGGCTGGCTATGAGATGCGAGCAGGATGATGATCATTCACTGGGACATGTCTGGCCAACTGGGAAGAGTCAGGTAGCTCAAGGCCTGGAGATTCTCATCAGGGAGAGCACAAGGGGGCCAGGCCTACAACTGCGGTCCAGGCACAGAGGCTGGGCTATGAGAACCAGTGTCCTGAGTGACTGCGATGATGACATATCCTCTATCACCACCTGCTACTGCGAGGCCCCAGCCCCAGCTGACCTGTAGACTCAGATCTGGGCCTGAGAGGGAGGCTCGGCTTCAGCCCCTCTCATGAACAGAATCCACAGCACCAGGGCTGAGAGTGGTGGCAGGGCCCAGGAACAGTGATATCCAGTAGAATAAGCGTGACACCGCCCCCGCAAACCAGAGGGAGTGCCAGGCACCTCTGCCCAGCCTCAGGCAGCTGACTTCACTAAAGGAGGCCAAAGGGAAAGAAAAAGATGGCAAGCTGTGTTTTGATGGCTGATGCGCAGGCTCCCAGAGAACTTTCAGAAATCAGCTGGGAGTTGGGAGGATTTTTGAATTGTCCTCTTGCAATAGCATGTTGAAGAAAAACTAGCTAAATATACTTTTTGTGTAATTCCATGTCAATATGCATGATTTCTTAGGTGGCAACCAAAGGCAAGGTGTTCCTGTGCCAAATGGTATTGCCAATGTTAAGGTTCTCAATACAGTGTGTATTTTGTTGTATTGGTTTGCTCGGGCTGCCAGAACAAAGTTACACAAATTGGTTGCCTTAAACAACAAAACAGTATTGTCTCACAATTTCTGGAGGACAGAAGTCTAAGAACAAGGTGTTGGCAGGGTTGCTCCTTCTAAAGGCTGAAGGAGAATCTGTTGCAGGCTTCTCTCCTTGGTTTGAGGACAACCATCTTCTCCCTGTGTCTCTTCACATCGTCTTCCCTCTAGGCAGGTCTGGGTTCAAATTTACCCTTTTTGTTATTTTTATGTATTTATTATTATTATTTTTCGGGATGGAGTTTCACTCTTGTTGCCTAGCCTGGAGTGCAATGGCGTGATCTCAGCTCACTGCAACCTCTGCCTCCGGGGTTCAAGTGGTTCTGCTGCCTTAGCCTCCCAAGTAGCTGGGATTACAGGTGTTCGGCGCCACACCAAGCTATTTTTTTTCTTGAATTTTTAGTAGAGATGGGGTTCCTCCATGTTGGCCAGGCTGGTCTTGAACTCCTGACTTCACGTGATCCACCCACCTCGGCCTCCCAAAGTGCTGGGATTACAGGTATGAGCCACCACACCTGGTCAAATCTCCCCTTCTTTATAAGAACACTGGTCATATTGGATTAGATGCCCACTCTACTTTAGTGTGACCTCATTTGAACTTCATCACATCTTCAAAAACCTGTTTCCAAATGCAGTTGCATTCTGAGGAACTAGGGGATTAGGACTTGGACACAGACATTTTGGGGGACACAATTCAACACTTATTTGCCAAATCACTTTTTAGAATGATTAAGGCAATTAACGATCTTCTTAAAGTGAAGAAACAACCCACAGAATGGGAGAATATATTTGCAAACTACCCATCTGACAAGGAATTAATAACCAGAATATATAAGGAGCTCAAGCAACTCAACAGGAAAAAAACTAATAATCCAATCAAAAATCAAAATCTAGTAATCCAAATCAAAAATCAGAAATGAATAGATATTTCTCAAAAGAAGACTTACAAATTGGCAAACAGGCATATGAAAAGGTGCTCATGATCACTGATCATCAGGGAAATGCAAATTAAAACTACAATGAGATATCTCACCCCAGTTAAAATGGCTTTTATCCAAAAGACAGGCAATAACAAATGCTGGTGAGGACGTGGAGAAAAGGGAACACTAGTATATTGTTAGTAGGAATGTAAATTAGTACAACCACTATGGAGAACAGTGTGGAGGCTCCTCAAAAAACTAAAAATAGAGCTACCCTATGATCCAGCAATCTCACTGCTGGGTCTATACCCAAAAGGAAGGAAATCAGTATATTGAAGAGATAGCTGCACTCCCATGTTTGTTGCAGCACCGTTGACAAGAGCTAAGATTTGGAAGCAAATTAACAGTCCATCAACAGATGGACAGATAAGGAAAATGTGGTACATATACACAATGGAGTACTGTTCAGCTACAAAAATAATGAGATCCTGTCATTTGCAACAACATGGATGGAACAAAATTGGAGGACATTATGTTAAGTGAAATAAGCCATGCACAGAAAGACAAACATCACATGTTCTCACTTATTTGTGGGATCTAAAAATCAAAACAATTGAAATCATGGACGTAGAGAACAGGAAGGATGGTTACCAGAGGCTGAGAAGGGTAGTAGAGGACTGGGGAGATGAGGTGGGAATGGTTCATGGGTACCAAAAAAAAAAAAATAGAAGAATGAATAAGACCTACTATTTGATAGCACAACAGGGAGACTATAGTCAATAATAATTTAATTGTACATTTAAAAATAACTAAAAGAGTATAATTGGATTGTTTATACCACAAAGAACAAATGCTTGAGGGTATGGATACCCCATTCTTCATGATGTGCCTATTTCACATAGCATGCTTGTATGAAAACATCTCATGTACCCCATAAATATATACCCCTACCGTGTATCCACAAAAATTAAAAATTTAAAAAAAAATTTAATCTTATCAACAGTGTATTAGGACGTTGTGTTGTTGCAATTTCCTTAGCATCAAGTGTGTCTTAAAAAAAAAAAAAAAAATCTGATAAGTTTTTAGAGCCTGGTAATTCATTCTTTTTTTTTTTCTCCGTCCAACCTGGAGTGCAGTGGCACAATCTTGGCTCACTGCAACCTCCGTCCCCTGGGTTCAAGCGATTCTTCTGCCTCAGCCTCCCAAGTAGCTAGGATTTTAGGTGCCTGCTACCACACCTGGCTAATTTTTGTATTTTTAGTAGAGACGAAGTTTTGCCATGTTGGCCAGGCTGGTCTCAAATTCCTGACCTCAGGTGATCCACCCACCTCAGCCTCCCAAAGTGCTGGGATTACAGGCATGCGCGACTGTGCCCAGTCAGTATTTCATTCTTAAGTAAACTGGCCATATATGAATTGGCCATATGAGTTCTTTGGCAAAATATAAGACTATTTCTCCCCTTATAGTAGCTATTGTTGAATAAGATGCCAAGAAGGACAGCTAGCAATAGAGACTCAGTGCACAGATACACTGGCAGGATTACCAGGTACATCTCCACCTCACTAACGCCTTCTAGAGGTCACCATGAGCGTGGTGGGAAGAACTTGCAATTTAGAATCAGAAGCACAGGGGTTCAAATCCCAGCTCTGGGACTCTCTAAATGTGCTCTTTTTCCAACCTTTTGAAGCCTGTAGTCTTATACGAAAAACCTTATCCTCTTCACCCAACTTTTCGAGGATTAAAAAATCCTCACGTGGCATATTGCTGCACGACACTCTGTGATGCATTGTGGATGTCCAGTAATGTGCGTGGACCCTAAAGCTGCTCTGAGGACCAGATTCTCCCCATGGAGTAAACAGGCCGCAGGTCATTAAGGGAACCGGATGCTCGTGAACAACAGACCATTCATATGGATTAGCGGGTTTCTGCAAGGAAGAAGAGGGCTTGATCATCTCATTATTTGTTTCATGTGTCAGAATTGAATCACAGTGCAGCATTCATTGACCTAAAATTAAATTACTTGTCATATTTTTTATTCAACCATTTCCTCCTTTCCTTGGTAAATATAATTTTTTCTCATTCTAATGAAGCTCCTTGGAAACATCAAATCACTGTTTTTTTTTTTAAATCAGAGTAATTAACCAATGATGGATGAGGCACAGGTAACACGTGGATTTGGTTGGGGGAGTCTTCAGTAAGCAAAGGATGGCTTTACATTGGTCCTTGGAAGAGTGGTAAAGTTGTGTCCACACCCCGAAATGTGTAAGGTCAGCTGTGACCCCTGGTGGAGCAAGAAGGCAAGACTATGACAAATATAAATTGTCATATCATTTTCTCAAAATCAAAAGACAACTCTAACTCACTAATTACCTTCTGTGTATCTGTTCTCTTAGACGTCAAGGAAAACCGTATCTATAGAATATATCTCATCATCAGTTTATTCTCATAAAATAGATTTTTTCAAATCAGCCCCACTTCCAATGTTGAAATGGATCTTACCCCTTTTCAGATAAAGTCTGAGTTCATTGTGCACCTTCACCTTTCTCTATATAGGTCTTGGTCACACCAATGGACACGCCAGGCTCAGGCTGTGGGTGCTTGCTGGGCTCTCTGTCTGTCACTTCTCCTGAGCCCTAGAGGAACACCGCACCCAGCTGCAGCACTTCCTACACCCCTCACCCCCAGGGCACGGCCCAGAGGGAACCTTGACTCTTTGGCTGCTTCAGTGTATCTGGCCGAAGACTAGAGCTCCTGCTTTGGCGATCTGTCATCTACCCACCAAGGTCCCTGAGATCTTGCCATTTTTCTAGAGTACTCCCCAGAGAGCAGGACTCAGAGGCCCAACCTCAGGAGACACTTCTGTCTGTGCCTGTGTCTCTCTGTTCTGTCTCTCTTTCTATTTCTGTGTCTTTTTCTGTCTGTCTCTCTGTCTCTCCTGTCTTTGTCTGTCTATCTCTGTCTTTGTCTCTCTGTCTCTGTCTCTCTATCTGTGTCTCTGTCTCTATGTCTCTGTCTCTCTCACACACACTCCTCACCTCTGTCACTTCTTTCCATAACCCGTGGGGTACAGAGGGGTATATTTTTCTTTTTCCCTCACAATCCTCCCCACAGGTAGTAAAGATTGTGTGTGTGTGTGTTTCTATTTTTCTCATGCCTTCCTAATTCCTTGATTGATTTGCTTTGGGAAATCAAAGCCAGCCAGGCTCAGGAGTTTTGTTGTTGCTTGTTTGCTGTTTTGCTTTGCCACTGTCATGTCCTTTCTCCAGTGTGGTAGAGATCTAGCTATTGCCGGAATGAAGAAAAGGGAAAGGGGAGAGGGAGAAGGGGAAAAATAGCAGGGAGCAAAAAGAATTTGACCAATTTCTGAGAAAAGTGTAAAAATACTGTCTTCCCACACACTATAAAATGCCTGCATTCCAACAGCAGCTTTGTGGGTGAGAGTGATGGTGATCGGTCTCGTGGTCGGCAGGGCAGCTAGCGAAGGGCTGGGTCATCCTGCAGGAACAAGATGTTCTGGTGCAGTGTGGGCGAGCGTGCCTGGCTGTGGGAGGAGCCGCCGCGCCTGCAAACAGGAGTGCCATGAGACACGCAGTGGGAAAAAGCATTTCTGATGACAGTCTCCATTCCTGGCACTTTCAGATGTTTTATAAAGTTTTCCAATGTTTATTTCAACTGTCAGCTATGTGATGTTTTCTTCATTTTACAGCAGAGGAAGCTAAGGTATCAAAAGACTAAGTAACTTCCCCCAAAGTGTCCCCCTAACTCTTGAGTTTCCTATGACAGCGACTGGCCCAACCATCCATCCAACAACTCAAGCCAGAGTCCCGGTTCGTCCTGGACTTCCCATCCTTGGCCACTTTCTCCCCCGACATCCAATCAGTGAAGCAACCCCTGCTGCCGGCCACCCACCATTTGCCTCCACCTGCTTCAACCACCTTGTTTTCCGCCTGAGGTTTTACAGGGGCATATCCAGGTGGTTTCCTGCCCAGTCAACTCTCCAACCAGGCTTTAAAAATACTGTGGCAGGCGTGGTGGCTCACACCTGTAATCTCAGCACTTTGGAAGGCCAAGGTGAGTGGATCATTTGAGGTCAGGAGTTCAAGACCAGCCTGGCCAACATGGCAAAACCCGTCTCTACTAAAAATACAAAACAATTAGCCAGGCATAGTGGTGCAGGCCTGCAATCTCAGCTGCTTGGGAGGCTGAGGCGGGAGAAATTGCTTGAACACGGGAGGTGGAGCCGAGATTGCACCACTGCACTCCAGCCTGGGAGACAGAGCAAGACTCTGTCTCAAAAAAAGAAAAAAATACATATTATATGCATATATATATACACATACACATATATACACACACACACACATATACACACACACACACATATACACACACACACACACATATATATACACATATATATATATGTATATATTTGGGCTTCTCTTTCGTCTAGTAGGGACACCCACTGTAGGTTTTACTTTCAAAGAAGTCCCATTCACCTCCATTCTCAGGAGGAATCATTACGGTTTTCTCTCTAGATAGTTTGTTATAGCATTAGGCACACGTGTGAAATTCCCATTTTCTCACCATCAGACTGAAGCATGTTTTTCTGAAATCTAAAATAGTTTAAAGTTTATGAAGCCAGGATGGTTTTGATCTAGATATATGGCCTTAGCAACCAAAAATATTTTTTCTTTTAAAAGTAATCTATTTTATTTTGCCTGAAACTTGGAAGACACACACATTCTGATCCATTTAATTCTTTAACGAGAATTGAAGAAGTCAGTCCGTCAGTCTGTTTCAACTTTCCACCTGGTCATTCTAGAACTATGCCAAGTATCTTTTTGTTATGTATTTTCTGAGCCACAGTCTGGGGCGGAGACTGAAGTTGGCCGGCAGGGCGTGGTGTGGGCAAATTACAGCATGGAGCTCCAGGGTCACATCTGGGGTCCTCTACTGGCTCTGAATGATGCTGTCTGAACTCTTCAGACACCCTGAACCCCAGAGGCAGCAAGCCCCCAGGAGGAACAAAGGCAAAGTACGTAACAGGAGGCAGGGCATTTGCC